ATATATATATAAAATTTTTATATTTTTTAAAAAAAAAGCCAGAGTGTTTTTAAGTTTGGAGATTAGTAGCTTTTTCTTTTGCATTGTCTGTTAGATTTAAAAATTGCTATTAATTTTAAAGCTTGTCCATTTTAAGAACCAGATTTAGGACTTTTTAAGGTCAAATAAATGTAAAATGCAATCGAAATGTATCATTATTATCTACTTGAACAAGCTAAAAAATCTAATAATTAATGCCACTGATTTTTATTTCTTAATGCCTAAAAAAATCATATCCAATCACAGCAATACATTTTCACTTTGTTCTCAGTTTGCATTCCATACAATCCACAAAATTTTGAAGACAGTTACTAATGCAATTTTGCTACCTTAAGCTTATTGATAAGACAATTTATTTGTCAGGTGATGGAATGATAAAACTATGGAAATCAATAAAAAATTTAAACTATCTCACAGCAAAATGTTTCAAAAAATTTTAAACCAATGATTTAAAAGAAAGTAATTAAATCAATAACTTTCTTAACAAATCAGTTAATTTAAACAGGGTTGCTGTTGTCGTTTGAAAAGTACAAGTCAAATGGGACAGAAGGCATGGAGCACAGCCCTAGCCACATCTCCTACTTTTTCGAAATAAAGGGTCATAGAGGGGTTCGCCATTGCTTTGAGAGTTAATTTAAACAGGGTTGCTACTGAAATGGAATAAAATTTCCTGACTTTTCCAGATACATTTAAAAAAAAAAAATACTGTCTAATATCTCAGTATGCACTGGCAGCACTATGGACAAAACATATAATGAACCACAAAAATTAATTATTTGCTATTTACACATTATATTTTATTTTAATTAATGCCAAATTGAAAAAAAAAGAAGCTCATGTGTTCTTGAAAAAGGGTGGTGCAAAAATAGTATGCTTGGCTAGACCTTCGACAAAACAAAATCGCTGACTTTTTCAAATTTCGGCTGAAAACTTTTTTGGGCAATTTCCATATTTCCTGACTTTTCCCAATTTTCCAGACAAAGCAGCAACCCTGAGTAAATCAACGAACTCTGTTTGACAGCATAATAAATTTTTATCGTGTTCACAATTTACCATTTTTGCAGCATTTCTGGATCTACTTTTTCTTGGAGTACGTTTAGAATCTACGCTGCCTAGAGTATCCTCTTCTGATATCACGAGTGTCTTTAATTTTGTTCTACTTCTTCTAGGGGACTTTGTGTCTAGAGGCTTATATTTAAAAAAAAAAAAGATTTTATTCAGACAAACAGAGGAAATAAACTATGCAAATAAAATAAGAACAGACAAAAAAATTACCTTCACTGCTGCAACTAGTTTTTGGGGAGTTACTTTCTTAGCAGTGTTCTTTTTAGCTAACTGTTCAACTAACATTCTTTGTTCTCTCTCAAATTCAGAGATCTTCTTCTGCGTTTGTTCTCTGATGCGCCGACTCCTCTTGATCGGAGCCGACGACTCCCCGTCGCTGCTCTGCTGAGAGGGAGTCGCCAGGTCTTCTATCCTACTTCGAGCTCTCGGAATTTTAGCGGGTTTGGACGTCTGTTTGTCTGCTTGGGTGCTGCTCAGTATCTCTAAAAAGCCCTCAGGAATAGAAAAAGCTTGCTTTTCTCCATCCCCTGATGAAAATTGAGTACTTTTAGGTGTTCTTTTTCTAGGCGAAGGCTTTGGAGGAGGAGGAGGAGGAACTTTTTTTGGCTGAGGAACAGCTTTTGCTGGAACAGTTTTGAGTGGGGCTCGTAACCTTCCCTTTTTCTTTTTAAGAGCGTTTACGTTAATTTTTTCTTCTACGATTTCTATGTCGTCCGTCGTGTCCATACTGAAGGTGGTCAGGAGAAGCGGCGAGCTTAATTTTTTAAGTGGAACTACAGGTGATGGGCTAAATGAGACACGCTTAATTTTTGTTTCCAAACAAAGACTGTTTCTTATACAATGCAAATCAAAACGGAGGGGGTGAAGTTTACTTTGGAGATCTAATTTTGATTTACTCTTATTTTCGCCACAGGCTAAAGTCGTTTCGTCTTTCGACGATTTCTTTTCGCTAGATTTTTTCATCAAGGCCATTAAATTAAGCTCAGATTCACTAGAATCCTCATCTGAATTCAAAACTACTGTCTTTTTATCCCCTAAAATTTCATCGTTCTTGGATAAATTACCAGAAACTTTCCCTATGTTTTCATCAATGCCCATAGCTTCTACATTGGTTTCTTTTGCGCCATTTTTTAAACTTGCTCTTCTTCTGTTCTTCCGAGGAGTGAATATGCGTTTCTTTCTGCTTCTGGTTTGTTTCCCAGTTTTAGGTTGTACATCACTACTTGCTTCTTTAGCAGTATTACAATCTTTTTCACCTAGGTCTTCATTTTGAAGTTTTGGAACACTTGTTTCTGAATTCTCTGTTGCCAAGGGCTGAAGCTGAGGCAAACTTTCAGATTCAGACTTTTCAGTCTTGTCTTTAGAATTTTTGTCGATGGATTCTGCTACAGATTTTATGCAAGGTTCATCATTTTGTTCCGCCTCTTTTTGAATTGTGAGCTCCTTGTTCGTCAAAGACTTACTCTTGGAATGTTTCACATTTTCTGTATCATTTAAACCTTCTTTTACCGCTTTATCATTAGGTACTTCTTTCACATCAGGGCAAGCTAGATCACTTTTTTCCTTTGTTCCAATATCGTTTAGTTCTTCTTGTTCGTGAGCAGTAGCTTCTGTTGTAGTTTGCTTTTGTATTTCAGTTTTTTTGTTTGTTTCTGTATTCTGTAGTTCATTTTTTTCTAATTGAGAAACTTCTGCACTAACATCTTCTCCAATCTTTACCTGGCACTGTGTATCATTTTTATCGTCCCTATTGTTATTATTTTCTGTGCTTAAGCTCTTTACCTCACTATCTTTATCTATACAAGATTTAGGCTCATCTACAATTTCTCTCTTTTCAGACTTGTCAAGCTTTTTGTCACCGGGTTCTTTCTCATCTTGAATATCCAACGGCACAGATTTCGAAATTACCTCTTCCTTAGTGGATTTCAAAGTTTCTTTCAAGCTTTTTGCATTGTCTGAATCATTATCCACTGGAATACGAGAACTTGGAAAAGATTTTTTTCCCGTAGATGAATCAGACTTCTCAATTTTATCACAACATTCAGTTTCATTTGGTTCAGTAATTGACTTTTTAACTACATTTTCAGGTGGCAAGATAGGTCCAGTTGAGGTTTTAGGCGAATCAGTTGTAGTTTCCACTGAAATTTTTTCCGATTCAGAAACAGAGTCAGCAAGATCTTCCTTCAAAATAATTTTACCTGCTTTCTTATCATCAGCATTTGTAGTTTGAATAATTTCAGTTTTCTGATGTTTTATATTAGGCGGAGTTACGGTCAACTCTTCACGGTCAGCAGTCAAATCTTCAGACGCTTTTTCATCCTTGGACACTTCATTAGTTAAAGGTTTAGCTGTTGCACTTTTCACACCATCCGAGACTTTCACGCACTTTTCAACATCACACGAAGAATCAGCAACAGTCTCAGATAGTTTGGGATCATGACTGTCTCCTGCCGGAATACTCTCATCTTTTTTATGTGGATCAGCTTTATGTTCATTTGCATTTGGTACACTTATTTCCCCTTTTCTTTCTATTCCTTTTGAAGCTAATTTATGTTCTTCATCATCGCTTACTTTTTTTGAAAGGTTCTGAATATTTGTTGCGTCCATATGCTCCTTGTTATCAGGTGTTTGTTTGGCCTCTTCCTCAGCATAAGGCTTCAAAGATTTCCCAGCATTAGCAGCTTCTAACGTTTTTCCATCAACAGAAAGCTTGTCTGTGGATTTCTCATCAGGAATCTCCGGTGCTAAAGTACCTGATTCTTTTATAAGTTCTTTATTTTCAAGAATTTCAGAGGCGTGGTGGTCATCCAGAGATTTATCTGTTTTTTCCTCGCTCAAGATCGGCATGGTTTCCTTGATGCTAGAATCTTCAGAAAGTTTTTTAGTGCTCGTCTTTGTCTCACAGGAACTTGTAACTCTCGAAGTCAACACCTCCACTGAATTTTTATCTGCTTCGCAATTTTCTTTTACCTTGTTTGTTTCCTCATCAGGAGTTAGAGCTGTTTTATCAACACTTTCTTTAAGGGGCACTTCCTTATCCAATTTATCTCCTTTGGTACTCAGTTTTGACTGCTGTTTCAATTGATTCTGTTCTTGAAAAGAAGTATCAGACCTGTTTGGTGTTACTTTATCAAGACTTTCACTTAGGGGCACTTCCTTATCTAATTTATCTCCTTTGGTACTCAGTTTTGACTGTTGTTTCAATTTATTCTGTTCTTGAAAAGAAGTATCAGACCTGTTTGGTGTTACTTTATCAAGACTTTCACTTAAGGGCACTTCCTTTTCCAATTTATCTCCTTTGGTATTCAATTTTGACTGTTGTTTCAGTTTATTCTGTTCTTGAAAAGAAGCATCAGACTGGCTTGGTGTTATTTTATCAAGACTTGCACTGAGGGGCACTTCCTTATCTAATTTATCTCCTTTGGTACTCAGTTTTGACTGCTGTTTTAATTTATTCTGTTCTTCAAAAGAAGTATCAGACTTTTTCAGTGTTATTTTATCAAGATTTTCACTTAGGGGCCCTTTCTTATCTAATTTATCTCCTTTCGTACTCAGTTTTGACTGCTGTGTTAATTTATTCTGTTCTTCAAAAGAAGTATCAAACTTTCTCAGTGTTATTTTATCAAGATTTTCACTTAGGGGCACTTCCTTATCTAATTTACCTTCTCTAGTACTCAGTTTTGACTGTTGTTTCAATTTACTCTGTTCTTGAAAAGAAGCATCAGACCTGTTTGGTGTTATTTTATCAAGACTTTCACTTAGGGGCACTTCCTTATCTAATTTACCTTCTCTAGTACTCAGTTTTGACTGTTGTTTCAATTTATCCTGTTCTTGAAAAGAAGCATCAGACCTGTTTGGTGTTATTTTATCAACAGAACTGCCAGTTTTCAATTCTTGAACACTTTCAGCACTACTAACAGGTAAGTTATCAGGATAATTTACATCAGCTTTTATACTCTTTGCATTTTGAAATTTAGTATGCTTATCTTGGGATAGAACTTCTGGGCAATCAGTTTTATTATCACTGCTTCCTTTTACAGAAGAATTTGAATTAGTTTTTAGAGCATCTAAAGATGAACATTTCTGGTAAAGTTCTGAGGAAGTTCTGCTGTTCTGTAGTGCCACATTAGATTTCAAAAGTACAGAGGAATCGGTAGATTCCGCACCGGATTTCGCGTCATCTAGCACCTGCGCAGTATTGAAATTATACCTCTTGCTTAAATTATCACAATAATTATCATTAAAAGACTTCTCACTTGCATTAAGGCCAACTTTACTCGAAGCATTAGTGAAGTTTAGGGTTTTGTCTGAATTCTTTGGATGAATGACGCTATTTGAAACATTCATCATCATGTTGGTATCGCACATGTTTTGCAAAGCTTGAAGGTGCGAAAAACTAGATCCCGTACTCACTTTGGAGGTATAAATAGACTCTCTGCTAGTTTGATTTTCTTGATATTGATTAAGTTTACTATTTTTCACTTCAAAAATTACAGATTTGCGCAAATGTTCACTATTTTGATTAGAATGCTCGTCTTTCAGCATGGACATGTGCTTTTTTTTCAAAGGTCTCGGTGCTTCAGGCACACTGTTGAAGTCGGGATCAATCGTTTTATAAGTCATAGGGGAGGATGTTATGTGAGAAGGCCTATCTTTATTTCCATTGCAATCAATACTACTTTTACTTAGGTTAGAAATATTATTAAAGTCTATTCTACCCCCAGAGGAAGACGTGTTCACTTTGGTTTGGCCGGCCGAATCGCTGCTACGATGCGACACGCTCAAATCCATCGGAAACTCTTCCCTAGGTGGGGCAGAAGATAGTTCGGTAGGGTGTGTTTTCGAGGGGCTTCTTAACTGTGGAGTTTTTCTAGCGTCGACGGACAAGTCCTCAGCGACCGCTTCAGGAACATTATTTGTTTGGCTACTCGAAGAGAGATCACAGGCGGTGTGCTGATCAAGGTTGAGAGCTAAGGCAGCAGCTTGCTTCTTCTGGTTGTTCCAACGCTCATACAGCTTGATTTTCCCGCCTTTAAAGTTAGGCTCAGAAGGAGATTCAATAGAAGGGGAAGGAAGCTTGTTTGGGGCATCTCCTTTCTTTGGTACAGCTGGAGGAGTTTCTTTGCTGGACAGTTTGGTTGGACAGGAATCCTCCGATCTAGGCAAAGGAACTGTTGTCGATTTCTTATCAGATTCCTTCGTTTCTTTCATAAACTTTTGCAGTGGTTTAACAAGATGTAATTTTTCTGGAATTGAAGTGACGGGAGAAATTTCCGCCGAGTCAGGCTCCTTTTCGGAAGGTTTATGCGATGAACATTCCTTTTGCTTGTCTGATTTGTTTTCTACTTTAATTTCTTCGCTGTCCGTCATTTCAACGTCATTGTGCGTCTCCTTTGCGGCAATGGAAGAATCTTGTGTTATAACTTGGCAACCGTCAACTTCCATTGGAGTAATTTTGTTATTCTCAGGATCAGAATCTTCTATCTTTACGGTTACTTTATTATCACATTCCATTAGACTGTCTTCAACTTTGACAATCTCTGATTCCGTTTGTTTTTCATTAGACTTTTCTTCGCTGAGCCGCTCGGTAGAAGGTTTTGAATCTTCAGCCATTTTTGTGGAGTTGACGTCATTCAAGTTTGAGTCTTTTCTTTCAGTTTTTATTATTATTGTATTAGGTTTTGTCTCAGATATACTACATGCTTTCATATCATCTCCATCTAAAAATAAACAATGTAATATTAAGAACAAAGGGATAATAAGGATTATAAAAGATTGTTGCACAAGAGATAGTGTCATAGAACATCTCATTTTAAGCTTCTGCAACAAGAGAAAACATTTTTACAGGGATAGCAAAACAACTTTTTAAACTTTTAGGGTAATTTTAGGAACCTTTTCAAGAAATTAGAACATAAGCTTTAGGGGTAAAATAAGATTTTATTAGTTTATTACATTGTTTATTACATTACAACAAAAGATTATTCCTATCCAGGAATACATATTTACATGTCCTTAAACAGACAAAAATGAAAAGAGCATCAAAATTGGCCGCACAGCCCAATGTGGGCCAATGCCTTCCCCTGAAGATTTCTCCATAACGACTACTGATTTATCTTTGGTCTCCAATTGTTTACATTGATTGCAAGAAAATGAGACTCCAGTCGAGTAAGCACATCTCAACCACGACCTTCCCCGCTTTCTTGCTCCAGTAGGACTAAAAAGCAGTATATTTTTCTATTGTATTGTCATCACTCATTCGAATCACGTGGGCCACCCAATTTATTCTATCTATTTTTATGTATTTAACAATATCGGGTTGTTTATAAATTTTGTACAGTTCAAAGTTAAATCTTCTTCTCCAGTTACTGTTTTCATTTACACCACCAAGTATACTCTGCAAAATCTTTCTCTGAAATATTGTGATACGATTTTCCTCCAGTTTAATCATTGTCCAAGCTTCAGAAACGTATGTCAAGCCTGGCCTGACAAGAGTTTTGTAAATTAAGAACTTAGAAAACGAAAAATAAGTTGAGGAAGAAAAAAAAATCCATACTAAAACATTTCAAAAATGAAATGCTTCAAAAAATTATTTATGAAAAAATATGATCTAATTAAGTAAGCTAAAAATTGGAACTGTAGCAAAATTTATTTAGCACTAATAAATTATAAAGTTTGATACAACTAATTGACTCAGGAACTGCTTTTTACATAAAGAACAATTTATACATTAACAAATATAGATAAACAAATTAATAAGCATATACCTTCATGCATAATTTACAGATATTGTATCTAATAATAATACCAAAAGAGATGGTTTTCAAAACTAAGTCTTTGGAATGGTACCCTTCCTCTCCAAAAAAAATAATACCTTTTCAGTAAAGGAAAACTTTAATTTTTAACATATTATTACAAACATTATTATTTGAACCCCTTTACCTTATTATTAAAAAATATATAATGTGTGATATTACTAAATTTCAAATCAGCAATTTACATTAAAAGTTACAACAACAACAAAAAATGACATAATTTAATTTTGAGTCTCTTTATCAAAGGTTATTTGAAAAGTTCTTTGTAAAAAGTCTTGCAAAGATGTTTTTCTTTCCTCCAAATTATGATGAGATCGACCTTGAGTGAAACCACTTCCCGATATTTTTAAAGCTATGCAACATAAACTGCACTTTGCAGAATATACCTTGCCAGTCACTAATTCTAACCATTCTTTAAGAAAAATTCTGTCTAGTTCTTTTTCAAATCAATTGTTCTAGAATTTGGTTCCTACTTTTCCCATGTTATCNTAAAGTTGAATTAGTGAAGGTACCGCTAAACGGTAGTAAATTCGGCCTGGACAGACCCCTGATCATACAATGTTTATGCTACTAGACAAACTGGAAGAATTATAAAAATGCAAATTAGATATTTTGACATTTTCCAAAACATGACCCCGTTCAGACGACAGGGAATTTTTGTGATTTTCTTAACCAGTATTTTTCTAAGAATTGTTTCCCGTTAATTTCAGAAAATAATCTTTTATTTTTGGAATCTTGACTTTTTATGGCTCTCTGTGAACAAACGACTACTACGTTTTAAAATTAATAAGAGATATATATTTAACACCTATGATTTAATACAGAAAGAATCGTATGAGACATTCTATATTGCACACACATATATATAAACACATTTGGCTACCTGTCTCAACTTTTGTTGCAGCATCTTCAGATGTTTCTTTGGTTTCTTCAGCACCCTCCTCTTTCGTGGCGGCATAATTATTTTTTTGAAGCTCTCCAAGAAGATTCTTTAACTCATCAGTCGTTCTGTAAAATATTTTAATCAAAATATTTTCTACTTTATAACTTCCAGTTAAGAATAAATAAATAAATCTTTAAAATATATTTCTATTTATATATATAAATATATATATATATATAAAAATAATTTAAAATATATTATAAATAAAAGTTGACGAGATATATCTATTCTGAACAGTCGACCCATTTTTGAGTTTACATCTATATTCAACTACGTAGGCTTTCAATTTTGACTCCAGAAGACAAGTGAACTCCTGAATTAAACCTTGGAACTAACTAGCTGCATGGGAGGACTTTTTTGAAGGAATTAATCGTATTTGTAACCATAAGAAAATTCATAACAGCTAAAATGGTTGGCCAGACGCTAAATTGAATTCTAACTAGAGATAGATAAGCTTTCGTTATCAATTAAAAACTGATATTGATACAGTACAGAACCATTTATTCGGTATCCAGATAACCGGGGAAAGTTTTGCTTGGTTAGTGTTAACTAGAACCATTTTAAACTAGAACGATTATGAAAAAAGGTGGAAATTGAACTCATCCTTGAAGTTGAGTAGAGGAAAATGTGAGGAAGGGGAGAATTACTTTCCCCGTTTACCCAGAGAAACGTCATTTCTTCCATGACCTTGAAGATCTTTATATCAAGAGGAGGCAGGAATGTTTTGTTTTCTCCTTTAGGCCGTCAATCAAACTCAAAGGAGTGGGATGCTGATTTCGTTTACCGTTTGATTTAAGAGGGGGTGGGGAAAATGCATTGCACATGCATATCAGTGAACAGAAGATGAAAGAGAAAAATATATTTATCTATTTGACATCGATTAATAAAAAAAAAATCTTTTTCTTTAGAATAAATTCTGATTCTTTGGAAGTGCGGTATCATTTGTAAATTTTTTTCGTGATGTAGAATCACAGCTGCTGTAACAAAAAATCGCATTATATAAAAAAAATAATAAAAGGAGAATTGTTTATTCATTTAAACATATGATTATTTTATGAAGCAGATTGGAGTTTTGTTTTTCGGATTCCATTATGTCTGATTTTTTTTTTCTTTTCCCGATAAATTTCGCTCTCAATAAATTAATTCTTTTTATTCATAAATTTTATCATTAGGTTGTTTCTTTTAATTCCGTTGATCTTGCTTTGTTCCGGGTTTTAATATTTATGCTAGTGCCTTTTTTAACTATTGTTTCGGTTCAATAATTTTAAAGTGTTGTTTTTATTTAGTTTAATAAGTTTTCCTTTTATTTATCGTCCCTTCCCCCGTATAAATAGGCATGAAATATATTACGTTATTTAATCATTGGTTTTGTTTATATTAGTTAATTTAGGAATTGTAATTCTACAATATGAGATATGATATTGAATGATATGAGAATTTCGTATATATGAGAACTATATATCAAATATCAAATAAATATGAGAATTTCGTATTTTTTAAACTTGTTTTTCTTGTCTAAACTTGCAGATTTTTTTCTTCTTTTAAATGTTATTTTTCTACCATTTTTTTTTCTTTTTAAATTTAAGAGTGCTTTTCTTTTTTCCCCCTTACTTTAAAAGGTTTTACACTTTTCCCTCGTAATTCGGGTTCGATAAAACATCGATTAACGACACTTTTTGGTCGATCCAGAAAACCGGGAAATTCAGACATCCGGGATAGCGATGGTCCCGAGCATCCTGGATAATTGGTTCTCTGCTGTACAACTAAACATCAGTTACAAAAAGCTGATACGTTAACTATCAAATACATAATGTTAATTTAGATCTTAAGAAGTAGAGTTGATGAATTATTAAGTGAAATTTATATTGAATTTTGAATTTATTCATTTAAATTGTAGATCTTAAAGTTTTGTTATAAAATAAAATGAGTTAAATCAAAAAGAAAACAAAAACTAACTAAAATTAAAAAACTAACATATTCAATATGGATTCCATGCATCAATTTTCATGCATCACATCAATGAAGTTGTAAAAACATAATGACTCCATGGCTCATATATTAATTATAACTTTAAATTAAACTAAATGTATCAACAAAAAGTTTATTATTTTTATTTTCTGATAATTTGGCAAAAAATTAAAACTTTGTCAGCACGTGCAAAAACGTGTCAAATTTAAATAAATTATTGCTTTAAATTTTATAAATAAAATTAAAAAAACTTTCAATGCCACAAATTCAATTTTTTACACAAATAAAGAGTTTGTAACTTTAGTCAAATTAGTAAGAAAAAAGCTAATATTAAAATCATAGTAAAAACAAACATTTAAAATTTATTATAATAACAAACTTTACAATAAATATTTATGAAAATTCTTTTGTGATTTTGCAAGTTACAAATTAAAATAACATACGATTAATTGAATATAGCAAAAAAATGAAATCACTTTTAAAATCTGTAACAAATCGAACCTATATCAAATTACTGATTTGAATAAGGAACTGTTTTGAACTAACTGTTTGAAACGATAAAAGAATCACACCAACATTGTTGCAGAACGTTACAGAGTTCTTGCAGAGAGATTTTTCTTCCAAAAGTGTAAAAAAAATTAATTAAAAAAAAAAAACACTTTTAACACACTTAATTTACACCGATAGAATCATAAATTGATGTAATGTTTCGATTGTATTTTCAACAGTTATTAATTTTAAATATCCAAATATATTTCAAACAACATGGAAAATTCGAATCTTGGATTTGAGCATCTACTTTTTAAGGCAATAATTCTATCGAAATGTTTGGCATTTATTGGTATTGATTTCTACGTTTTAAAGCCAATATTTTTTGTACGATATTTTTTATTACAACAACCTAATCTCCAAACAAAACAAGCATTAGAAAAGTCCGATTCACACTATTTCATCACCGATCTCCCCCCCCCCCCNGGCAATTACTCGATCGATTTACAAAATGCAAAGAAGAAAACAATTTGTTCGCTCCCCCACTCCCCAACAAAATGTGAGAATATCACCCAGAATATTAGAATAAAAAATTATTATATGTTTAATTAAAAAAAAAAAGTTTTTTTTGTTACAAACACAGCGCTTTTGTTATTTTAAATTAGTAAGTTAATATTAAAAGTATCTTGCAGAAAGATAGTGGTAGAGAGATTTGTCGCAGATTGCTCGAAAAAATCCTTCCACAGGGGATACAAAATTATCTCATTAATTCTCATTGGTATTGATAGGATTCAAAAATTAATATAAGATTGAAAAGTAATTTTAACTTTTTTTAAGAATTATTTTTCATTAGTTAACTTTAAAAAATGAATTAATATGCTTACGAGCATAGAAGTTGCCACTCATTTTCATCCTCAGCCCCTTGACGATATAGCCGCATATTATGATCTTTATCTAACTGGTACCAATACACATGGCCATCGATATCTCGACCAATGGGTGGAATGCGAAGAGAGGAGGCATCTTGTTTGTTGACTTCAGTTTTAAATTTCACATTGCTATCAAATTGCAGTTCAAGTAATCGCTGCAAAAACAAATATTAATTAGTGTTTTAATAAACAAGAAACCAGGATCAATTATTCTGACAGCACATTTTAGTCACGAAAAAAGAAGAATCATTTAGGAATACTTTAAGCCATTTAATTTTAAGTATCAGAATTAATTATTAAAAAATCAGAGGTTTAACTAAGTTTTTTTAAGAGGTACCTATTTTGTGAAAAATTTAAACATAATTTGTAAAAATTAAAAATTATATTAAAAAATCAACACATAAATATGGTAAAAATAGGAAAATATTTTCAAAAATTGTCACTACAAATAAAAATCATTTATGACTGGTAAATTTCTGTATATTTTTTTCCATATATTCAAGAACAATTTTGCTATTGTAAAATTTTGGGCTTAAAATTATATCCAAATTTAAAAAAATCCATAAAAATCATTGCCCATTGTTAAATTTCAACTTGAATTTAATAAAAACATGCCTTTAACAGTATTAGCACTTAAATTAATTTTTATTATGGAACATTTTCAACTGGTTCATACAGAAGAAAAAATATTTCATAAACAAAAAAAGGCTGTTAGAATAAATTTAAGAATAATGTGTAAGATAACAGTTCAAATTTCAACTTCCTGTAAAGTTTATAGAGGTAGAGCCTCTTCGTTTCATTTCAAATTATTTTTCTAATTTAAAATAAATTCAAACTGAAACAAAAAACATTATTTCAAAGTTCTATCCTTTATAATTGGTAAATTTGCTTTTACTCATAATTAGAGGTGATTTTTATTGATGCTCAAGTTTTATAATTGATTCAATTCTCAAGGGGCCAACATAAGTGGCATTTCTGCGCTAAGAAAATGACACTGACTAAGATTAAAATCGTAACTGACAAATCCTTTGGATAGCATTTTGAACTCAATGGATGTTCAGTTTTCTTCTTTCTTTTTTTTAATGGCGGAGACTTGAGCCTATTTCCCATTGACCAATGCCCGAATCGCTATTCTTTTATCGTTACCCAGTGGCTAAGTCACGTGGTTGAATAGTTTTGCCCACATTAAACAACCGCAAACCTGTTTATAGGGCGAGTTACATTCACATAGAAGAAAGGACAGCGAACAGAGAGAGAAAGTTGCATCCATGCCTACAGTGGGATTCGAACCCATAACCAGAGCCTAACAAAAGCAGGGTATACGGGGCAGTTGCCCCTGGCCCCACATCAGAGGGGGCCCCCAAATCGAATAGAAAGTTTACTTTAGGTTTCTTTCATTAATGAACTTTTTTTGAACAAAATATCAGTACAGTGTAAAATCCATCAATTTTATGTTAGCTTCTTCATTCATTTTGTATTCATTCTATCGTATGAATACAAAAAATCTATATTTCGTAAATCCATGGTTTTCTAGTGCGGAATTCAGCTAAATTTCCACAATTTTGATGGACAAATTCAGCCAATCAAAAGCCTGCATTTTTACATATCACAAAATATGATGTATTTACAAAAATACAGACTTCTGATTGGCCTAAGTGAGCAATCGTAATTGCGAAAATTTAGCTAAATTCTGCTCTATAGTCAGTAGATGACAAAATTAACAATCAGAAAACTGCATTCGGCATGGTAGACATAGGGGGTCAGAAAATCAATAAAACGGAAAGAAATATATTTCTTCTGACCATTGGAGGGCTTTATAGCAATTTTAGGTTCTCTAGTCAACTTTCTTGTTACTTATGTATAATGAAGTGAAAAATTTAAATACCTCCATAAAGTTCAGTTCTTCATACTTCATTCCCTCAAAGAAGTTTTTGCCCTGGGGCCCCAATTAGGCTAAGTCAAGCCTTGCCCATAACCACTGGCCTTGTAGTCCATTACAGTAACCACTAGACCAGTGATTGTCAATGGAGGTAACCCTAAGAAAGGCCAAACCCCATTAATGACTGTATTACTCTGGAACATACAGGGGTTGCTCACAAGAGATCACCGTAATAATAAGTGGATAAAATTGTTGGTGTCAGGCGTAAAACCTTAGAAAGCAAAAAATAATAAATTATTTACAAATTGCCTTACTCTGTAAATTTATTAACACAAACACAAAATTAAATTATATTAGAAAATGATTATTTTTCAAAGTTAGATAAAAGAAATAAAAAGTTTACCTTCAAGAGTTCTATTTTTATAGAAAGCTTTGCTTTTTTGTAACCAAATCTTTCTAATTCCCATGCATCCACAGATGAATACTCGTGACAAAACTAAAAATACAAAAAGACTTTTGTAAAAATTGTGTAGTAGTTGATTTATGAAATCTCTCGAAAGAATACATAAAACACATTTAGCAAACTCCAAATGTTCGCATAAAACACTAAGGTTTCATGCCATTTTTCAAATTATAATTCATGAAATTACTTTCAAAAAATATTCTGAATTAAAGATATAACTTCTGGCTGAAAATGCTCAGGTATGAGATTACAGTACTTGAAAAGCACACACACAATATTCTAAAACATGCAAAAGATATCAAATAATTATTCCTTGTCATAAAATGTGAAGGTATCACATTACTTTAAAGTTGTATAGCATGAAAACTACACATAATATGCAAAAATATTTTAAATACACCAAAGCAGGTTTCGGACAGAATGGATTAATCCACAGTCAAAACCAGGATTAAACCATCTGTCCAAAATCCTTTTGTTCAAATTGTCCAAGACCCTATTGTTAAAATTCTATCACAATTAAAAAAAATAATAATGATGCAAAAAATAAAAGGTTAATTTTTGAACAAAAAACAAAATAAAGACAAGTTTTGGTTGTATTAAAATAAAATATATTATTATTTTTAATACTGCACTATTTATCCTTATGGATAAACATAATTTATCAGTATTAAAAGCATATTTAAAGGATAAGGTATTCACTTTTGCTATTCAATGAATTGTGTAGCTTCAAAAGTTATTCATCTTTTCCAATTATATTATATTATTTACCTTTAATAATTTAAAATATATTGTATAAAAAAGTATCAACTATTTATTAATACATGTAATTATTATGTGTACAATGGCTACACATATAAAATTTTTACCTTTTACAAATGTTAAAGATTTTGGACACTTTAAGGCAGTTTAGGACAATTTCAGACAGTAAAACCCCCTTATCCTGTCCAAAAACAGTTTAGGGCATTCAAAACCCCAACCCAGCACCAAAGGTGCAAAAACATTCTAAATAATTCTAATTTTCCTCAATTCTTGGTTAATGACCGATAAATTTTATTGAGCGGAAAAATTTTCTGTATCAGTGGATCTATTCAAACGTTTAACAAAATATTGATGGAGTAACAGACCTTGATTTAAAATTTCTGGAAGATTTCTTTGTATAATTATTAAAATAAGCTTTACTATATTCCAAATATCAAAAGACAGCTTTATTACTTTATTAAGCAATTCATTATTCACTTTTTAGCTCTTGCCGTTTGTTTGTTTCAGGCCAAATCTTTAAACAAAAAATAAGCACCTTTAAAGTACTTTTTAAGCACTCAAAAAATATTTTTAAGCACTATATAATACATTAACAAAATGCAAAATAATTTTCAAAGACTTTACATTATTATGATAACTAGTTTCTGACAAAGAACACTTTTCTTGATTATATTAGCCACCATAAAAAGATTTTTCAGTTTCATTTCAGAGCGTGGGAAATGGAGCCAGAAATTAAGAATATCTCTCAGAATGCAGCGAGTAGCACATGAGAGTGCAAGAATCTCACGGAACCCAGCTCAGAAGACGCACATGCGGACTCCCAAGTATTTCATCAAACATCATAAGTTATGTACTGACTGCACACCGAAATGGATTGTGGTTGAATGAATTACGAAAATGTTGAATAGAACAATGTGAAAACCATGTTTTTGAATAATATGCAGCGAAAATCGACACGGTAAAGAAAAGAAAATCTTGTTTTCGAAGAGGGAAAGTAAAGCACTTTTTAAAAACACACTAATGAAAAAAGCACCTTAAGAGGATGCCATACAGCGGAAGGAAATTTTCGTTGTGAATTCTGAAAAATGAAGGAGAAAGAGAATTTGTAAGGAAAATTTTCTTCTGCGGTATGGCGTCCTCTTAAGAGCTTTTAAAAAACGAAAATTGAAAATAAGCACCTTTAAAAAACATTACGCACCATATCTTTTCTCTCTCACTTATTTAAGATTTCTTAAACTAGTGAAAATTAACCACGAAAACTCACTTTTATCAGACTTTTCTCCCATTTTTCTTTTGTAACTCTCTTTCTTCCCCTTCTCAGCAAATGAATAATAAGCTCTGCCAAATCTTCTCTCACTGAAAAAGAAAAAAAGTTAACTTAAATACGAAATATATGTAACGCAGCAAACCATAGTAATACATTAAAGTGTAGACTAGTGATCGGAAGTAGAGTGTTATAAATATCAAAAGTACTGTGGTCACTACTTTTTTAATAAATAGTAAAGGGAGTAGTTTAATACAAAACAATATTTAAAAAAAGTCAATTCCTACTTAGGTCAACAAACACAATTTTTATTTTAGTTACTTTTTATTAAATAATGAAAATTCCCCCCCCCCTCCCCCCATATAAAACTAAAATTAATAAATTAATATCTGAAAAAACGGCAAGTTTTAAAAAAAAAATTATTTGAACTTGAATGGATGCATAAAAAGCAGGGTTGGAGTTTTTGCCGGCAAAAAAAAGGGTTTTTTGCCAGGACAGTGGCAAAAACCTGGTAAAAACCGGCAAAAACCAAATTATTTAAATTGCTGATTAAATATTATTACAAAATACTTGAAACAAATTTAAATCAATTATAAGGAACAATAATTTTGATACATTACATGAAAAAAAAATTTTTAACATATTAATAATTAATATAAGGGTAATAATTTTTAAAAGATTGAAAGTTTTTGACCTCTTTTCATTTTAGAATCCTNTTTTGTAATTAAACAATTTTCAAATTTTAAATTAAAAAATGAAATAAATATTAACAAATTTGCTTTTTTAAACTTTCTATATTTTAAAAAAATGTAGCAACTTGATGTATTTTTTGTAATATTTTAAATATCTTGATGCCAACAATAAGGCTTTCACAAATCTAAATAATTAATAATAGCAGCATAATTAATATTAGCATATACTTCATTATTCGGCCGAATAACTTCAGTATTCGGCTAGGCCGAATATTCGGCAAAAGGGCCGCATAGGCCGAATACCGAATAGTGGCCGAATATTCATTACATCCCTAATTAAAAAAAAGTCAATTTCTACTTGGTCAACAAAGACAATTTTTATTTTAGTTACTTTTTATTAAATAATTAAAATCCCTCCCCCAAATAAAACTAAAATTAATATTTGAAAAAACGGCAAGTTTAAAAAAAATGTATTTGTACTTGAGTTGATGAATAAAAAAGTATTTTATTAACGATTGAAAATTTGAACAAGATATAGGGAGAGTATGAACTAATAGTAGGAATTGGAAGAAGAAGAAGGAGTTTGTAGCAATTCCTGACAATTGCTTTTCTGTTAGTCTAGTGAAGAAACAAGGTTCAAACTAATTAGTCTCATTGGTGCAATTTTTATGCGGGTTAACCATCGGCAGAGAGAATTTCTAATATTTAAAAATTTCTAAGTATTTAATAAATTAAATATTTGAAATCAAGTAAAGCATGAAAATAGAAGGTTAAAGAAAACAAATTCGTTAAAATAGCAGAGCTCTGCCTAAGAATAAAAAAAGGGCAAGGCGCTTCCTCTCTGAAAAGGGTACTTTAAAACAGCACTCACTTAACACCCTAATGATTTACCAAAATGTGTAATATTATGTAATAATTGAATTTTTACTCCCAATAATTTCTAAATTACCCTCTTATACAATTTAATGTGTATATTTCAAAAAGTAATTTTCTCTCGTTATCAAAATAAGATAAAAATTTGTAGTTTGCAAATTTTTCATGCTAAACTCTGTACAGTAGGGAACCGATTATCCGGAACGATCGGGACCATCGCTATTCCGGATAACTGATTTTTCAGGTTTTCTGAATCGCTGCAAAAAGCCGGTTTTTTATTGTTAAACCCAACTAAAAAAAAACTTTTTGGAAATAATCTTAAAAAGAAGAAAAAAACGATGAAGTACTACACTAATGATTATTTCCGAAATGATGGTAAGGTAAACATCTTTCAAAAAAGAAAGAAAAATACTAAAATCTTATGAGGAAAAAAAAAAAATCTTGAAAAAAATGGCGGGAAAATTTATCGAATTTCATTTCGGTTTTTTGGTTTTCCGGTTTTCTGATTTCCGGATAACGGGTTTTGTACTGTATTAACAAAAAATGATCAATTGATAAACAACTTGAAAGCTTTTTTTCTATAACTTAAACAGAAAATTACGTGAAAATAAACATTTAAAGGAGCATTTTTTCTTTTTTTTTAAAGAAAAGGGTATTTATTTTATAAAATAGTTTTGAAATTTAAAATGACTTAAAAATTTAATTAACATTCCCTTTTTCCGAAAAAAGATGCTTCACAATTTTAAACGGTTAAGAATAATCCTAACAAAGTAAATGTTTGCAATAGTACTCAGAACTAAACCTATTAACACACATGATTTTACCTAGCAGATATTTCCGTATCGTGATGTGTTGCACCAACTACAATCGCCAAATTTAGGATTTTAAACTTGCAAATTATTTTAACAAAGCATTTACGTGCTTGCCCAGGGGTTGCTACAAGTTATACCTTTTGAGTTTATCCCTTTCTGTGATGTTATATTAGTTTTTTGTGGGCAGCTGCACGGAAGCCGCCAAGGCTTGCCGAGTATTCTGCCACAGATCACGATACAGAAATTATCCCATTAGCAGTGTGTAATTATTATTTAAATAGTAAACATATATTTATTTTCTTCATAATCGAATACTAATAAAAAAGCAGGTTTTTTAAGGGATGTCGGCGATTTTTATTAATCTTCCTTGCTCTTGTAAAAACAAATAAATATTTCTTAATAGGTGATTCCTTATAGTTTAATAAGTCTTTTTAAAATTCAAAATGATTATAAATATAGGTTCACAGTAAGTTCTCCAGGAAAGTTTGTCTTTTAAAAAAAGCAGAGAGTAGTTGCTGCTCACTAAAAAAAAAATTATAGTTTTTTGTTTAATTACTGGTGTAGACATATATCCCGTGACAGAATCGTGACAACACGGCGACATTGTTGCAGATTATTACAGAGTTCATGTAGACAGGTTTTTTGTTTGGGAAGCAAAAAAGTTTGATTCTTTTTCATCTGAGAATTTTTTATAAGATTCTATTTTCCTGCTTAACTTTTTTTTCTTCCTTTTCTGCCGAATAATTTTCAAAAAATGCCTTATTTTATATATCAGACAAGGAAAAAATGCTCGTGGTATTTTAGCGTTTATACAATAAAAGAAGGTCCACAATGACTAATTGATATTATAAAAAGTAATTTCCAAGTCGATAAAATTTTAAAAAAGTTAACTGCACAAATATTTTTCTGAACAAAAAAATATCGCCCATAATATTAGAATATGAATTCTTTTACATAGGTTTAAAAAAAAAATCTTACATTTATAATTTAAAAAATTATATATCGTTCTATTTTATATATGCAGGATTTTTAAAAAAGTATTCATTCCTTTCTTTCTTGTAAACAGGAACCGCTTCTGTTACTTGAAATCAGTAATATATTTGCAGGGGTATGTCTAGGTTTTTCTGAGAGGTACCAATTTTGTGAAAATTTGTACATAATTTGTGAAAATGAAAAATGAATTTATCGTTTCTTTCGGCATACAAAAATAAAATTTTAAAAAAAAGTATTTTGTGTACCTACCTAAAAGTATTTTGTGTAAAAGTATCTACCATTTTCCCTAAAGTTGAATTTGTGAAGGCACCGCTAAAGGGTATTAAATTTTTCCAAGACAGACCCCTGATTTGCTATTATTAAAAATGTCTTTCAGAAAAGGTATCAATACTAAAGAGAATTATCACAGAAAGTTCGAAAAAATTCTGTCACAGGGGACTTATAAGATACACTAATGAAGATTTCAGCAATAAAGTAAGACACTACATTTTTTTAAAATATTACAGAAAATTGAGAGAACAACTCACTGAAAAACAAGATAAAAATTATAAATATTTTACAAAATAATTACTCATTTTATGCTATTATCAGTGAACTGTAATAATTAATAAAACCTAGCAACATCTCAAAATTTAACAACAGAATTTACTGCCGGGGTGTGTTTAGAAGAAATTTGGGTTCGTTAACAGACCCTTCACAAAATATCTTTCCATAAAAACGGACCCTTCACAAAGTAATTTATCTTTAAATCCAACCCTTCACAAATTTGTTTATCTTCATTATTGTTTTGTTAATCGAATAAACTTTTTCCCAGAAGAAAAAAAAAGAAAGACAGTTCGAAACGGACTAAGTTTTCCAAGTTTAAATTCCAAATGTAGTTTTCTAAGAAAATATTTCTACTTTTACAAACGTCGTGTGCACATTCTGATTGATATTGAATGATAATTTTGTTTTTTTTTTTGTAAATAAATAATTGATCAATTTATATTTATTCATAAAATTAGTTAATAGAATATTATGTAAATAAAAATTAATTTTTGGCAATTTTTTAAAATAAAATATTAAAAATAAAATATTATAAATTCAAGAATTGTTTAAGTTTACGTAATGCGTAACACATTAAACGTGATACACTACTAAGTTGTGACATTTAAAATATGTCAATTTAAATGATTAAAAATTTGAGTGATTTTGTTTCCATTATTCATTCGAAATGAATATTCTGTGTTGAGCAGTATAGGCCATATAACAAATATTTGTATGTTGCATCTCTAATTTAGTAGCAACAATTGTTGAGCAAAATCTTGTATCTATTTAGCAATTTTTGCAATAACAGGAAGAATGTGACTGAACGCTTATTTTATACTCACAAATTATGAATAATTTTTTTACACTTTTACAAAAACAGGACTATGTATGGACAGGCCCTTGGTCAATAAATTGATGTATCAATAGAAGTTACATTAATTGTCATAAATATTTTGTAGACATATTTCTCAGATAAAATTTTATTCCACAAAGTAGATGAATTAAATGTGCATACAGTGATTCAAAAGAAACAAAGATTCATTCTACAACCACAATTTTGGCTCAAATGTTCTCCTCCCTGAGATATAAGGGAGTATCTAACAAAAACAAAATTTATCTGACCCTATAAATCTAAAAATCACATTGAGGCGAGATTAAGATTAACGAACAAATATAAATATTGTAACGTTGTCCATAAAGCAGAACGTTTTCTCTTAGCAAGCGCCGATGTTATACAACTCCAGTCTGCAATGGAATCCACCATAATTATATGCAGGGGTCAATAAATTGAACAAAAACTACTAAAGTGGAATGGAAAAATAAACAAATTATTTTATCACACTAGGTAGTAGTCATGTGAAGAATAAAGTAACACCGAAATTATATTAATATCAATAAAACACTATTTAGCTGATTAGAGTAGCGCTTTCCACAGCGATGACTTAAATGGACACCGCATATAAACAAACAATCATAAAATAATTGCTTAACAGCAATTTATGCCTGTATTAAGACCTATTGAGCCCCTCGCATCTTAAAATGATCAATAACCATAGTTAAAAACAAAAAGATTTTCATAATTAATAAGATTTCTTGTGTACGAAACAAATGACAAGTAATAACCAAGGTTAATGGCTCTGGAGTAGGCAGGATTCACGAAAATGGCCGATTTACAACCACTCACCATTTTTGGTATCCTCTAGTAATTCTTTAAGGTAAGATATAGATAGATTTACTCCACAATCGCTTCCAAATTTGGTGATAAATGAACATATGATGGCAAAATCGGGATTTCCTTCACAACTCTCCTCGCTGGCTGCCATCTTGAATGGCACGGCAACACATTATTACCGTGGATGCTGACCGTGACTGTATACAAAAATAAATACCGAAACAGCAGTAAAAAAAATCACCGTTACTTTGTATCTGTTACTTGTACTGGTTGTTTCTGTAAAGGTAGCGTATGGCAATAGAACGTGCGTGATGCCATAGGAAACAGGACGCTGCGATAAGGCATGTTTTCGCACTAGAACTGCATAATGGGCTATTGGCGACGGTCTGGGAAACATCCTGAGGATGATCCAAAGACATGCCATTACAATTTTGATCCTCTGCAGAGGGGATGGAACCCCCGCATCTGTAGAACGACGGCCTGCACGCGAAGTCGAGCACTTCACGGTGGAACAGTTTAACGAGAAACAATATCGCACACCCTCGGTTCCTGCACAGACTGATCCAAGTGGTCACCCAACCGCACCCTGACCACAGCCAGTGATGCTTGACTTCGGTGATCTGCTGGGAACCGTCTCTTAACGATCAGTCCACTGCGGGACACACTACCTTTTGTAAAGTTCGCTGAAACTTTGGTGAAGATTAGCAGGAAATGAGTACGATTTGGAAACTCTTATTTCTGGAAAGACTCCCTGCACCTCTTTGGGCGTCTTTTTGGGACTTTGCGTAGTGCTTGGGACGGCCGTGACTGATAATTAAATAGATATATCTTATGGGTTGATTTTTATCATCGTTGGCATCGTTATCGCTTAATCGTTGATCATTTTTACCAGATTTGGCTTACAACTTCTGTGGCGTCTTTGTGAGCGCATGCGCATATTATGCTGCTGGCGTGCGCGGGCAGATTCTTAATCGACATTTATACGCTATCCGGAAAAAGACCGCGTTTTTCATTTCACAGACTTGGGGTGGGGTGTCGAATTTTATTCAGTTCCTAGTACAACAAAGGGGAAAAATGTGTTTACAATGTCAATTGATGCTAATATCTATTGTATCTTTCTTTTTACCTTTCCTTTTTCCCACCTCGATATCAATTTTACTCAAATCATTTTGTTTTTCTGGTTATGATCTTTCTTTTCAGTATCTTTACTGTAGGCAATTGAATAAGTAGGGAAAATTGTAAAAGTTAAGTTTTTGAGGCACATTTAAATATTTAACTCCCAAAGCGTGGGACTTAAATCAGCAACACCATTCTAGAGGGGGGCGGAAATACTACAAAAATGAGCAATAGAGCATAAACCCCACTGAAAATAATCTTAAGATTTTCTTTAAGAAATATCATTTTCTTTAATTATTTAAAAGTTTGAAGAATTTCTGAAGATTTAACTCTATCTCCAAAATATCTTAAGAATTTTTGCAGACATTTTGAATTTCTTTGAGGTGAATTAAGTTTGTCTTAAGAAAATCTTTAGACAGTTTCCTGAGTTAATGTTACCTTAAAACATCCTAAGATTTTTTAGACTATCTTAAGAATTTTTGAAAACATTTTGAATGTCTTTAAGGTGAATTAAGTTTGAACAAAGATTTATTTCAGTTCAAACAAAGTTTGTCTAGTGATATTTTCGATAATGATCAGATCTTAGTTTCTGTTTAATTCTACGAACGTTTCAATAATTCTCTAATTAAAGTATATGTATTAAAGGTTTTCTACCTTTCCTCTCCGTTCTTTCATGAAACATAAAAAATAATAATTTGAGATTGAAAAGAAAATGTTTTGTTTGACTTCTATTTTAAATGTTTTAATTTACTGTTTTTGTCAAACATCAACTGGTATCTACGGAATTCAATATATCATCAGCTCAATTTTTCAAATCAAAAAATATCGTATTTTCATATTATTAATCTATCTATATATATAAAAATGCGATATTTTCTGCTTATTTATGACGCATAAATAGTTTTGGTTTGATTTTTTATCCAATTAAATATATCTATTGGATAAAAGCTACTAACAATGATGTAACTAAGCAAAATTGCTCTAACTTCATACATATCTATTTCTCATTTATTTAGTAGATTTAAAATATTTATTCAAAATATTGCTCTAACTTCATACATTGTTCCTCGCTTATTCTATTTTTGATTATATGTTAAGGAATTGAATGAATTTTACCTCCTTTTTTATTCTAAAATCATCGTGATTTAAATACAATCAATTTAACAATTAGATCTTTCTCATTTACACAATAGGAGCTTTTCCCCTGCCGAAAAAAGGTAAAAAAAATAATAAAAATCCTGAAAATAAAAGATATAATCTTTTCATCGGCTCACACGATTACATCCGCAAAAAGGAGTGCTTTCTAACATTGTATCACTATAGCCAAAGCAAAATATATCAATACAATAGTGGGAGGAGCACTCAAAAAAATTTACAACAGATAAAATGGAACACATTAAGTAAAAATATCACGTAAAAACAGAAAATAAAATTTAAAGAAGAAACAGAATAAAACATAAAACGATTTCTATAAAGCGAATAGCGAATTCAAATGAACTTACATGAACGGGAAATTTTTCAAGAATGATTTAAAATATTTTCGTAACTAGATTGCCAAACTACAAAATAATAAAACAGAAACGCAAGTTGAGGTAAAAGCGTAAATAAAGGGATTTTTGTTTTACAGTGCGTTCTCACTGCAGTGCTGAAGTGCGTTTGATTTGCTAGTTACCAAGGATGGGCCCGAAAATGGATGTGCGCAAGGTAATATTATACTGGATGATTTAAGGAAGTTGACATTCAATAATTTTAGAAAATTAACTTTTAATTTAAGAAAAAAAATAGAATAAAATAGAAAAGTGAAAGAAACATGAATTGCCTGTTTTGCACATAATTTCAGCCATGGATTTGCCCGAAATGGATTAGCACACGGTAAGAATTATATAAATTAACGAAGAAGTTTTTTAGTAAATTTATTTACAATAATATACAATTAACTCAATGATTTAATATAGAATTTTATTACTTTAGTTGGGTATCCATTGTTTGTTTTTTTATCAAATTTTGAACGAGTTTGTCTATTTGTTTTTTGAATAAATAAGCATCACTACATATTCTTTTAATTCTATTCATTTGATTAAAAATGGTATTTAAATAGATGTTATTGGAAACATTAGAATTCTAAGTAATTAGTTTATTTATACTAAATTTAAAATAATTTCTTTTATCGTATAAATCGACAAAGCAGATATTTTCTTGATTTATAATACCCAAATCCAAAAAATTTTAATGAATATAATCATCACCCCTTTTTATATTATTCCGCCGGCACCCTTGCATCAAAATTAGGAAATTCGAAATCAATATTCTGTATTACAACATTGCCCTATATCTCACCTTAATATAGACCCATAATATTCAAATTGGATCAAGTATTAAAGTTTATTTAATTCGATCAATAATTTGATTATAATATTGACATTTGATATTTTGTATACATTTGCTGTTATTATTCAAAATTATCGGTAAATTTTGTTTAAAAAATACACGATATTTTATTGGAGCAAATATTTTGCAGGAACAAATATTACATTTACAGCAAATATCGGGAAAAAAAGTAATTAATTAAGAATAATTAAATGATCACTTTTATTTTATAACCTGTGCAAAACTGCCATTGAGTAGTTCTTGTAAGTTACAACAACAACAAAAAAGGCCGCGTTTTTAAGTTAACATTTAATAAGTGCTTACATTAAAGTTAAAAATCATTTTATGTCAAAGTTTTGAAGAAGCATGTGAATTTGTGATTTTTAAACCATTAAAAAAAAAAAAAAACTCGTATCATTAAATCATTTTTCAAGAAAAAGGATAAAATCCATCGCCTTTTACTACACAGATAGTCATTCATAATTTAAGTTTTCATTTGTGTGTGGCTTTATATTCTCGTTATCAGTATGCAAAGAAAAAGAAAGGGTATCTAATATTTCTTTCTACAAAATATATGACCCAATAAAATATCATGTATTATTTCATCATCATATCTGACTAGACAGCCCAGGGTGGGCCAGTGCCTTCCTTTGAATTCGAATCCACTTCTCTCTACTTTTGACACTTGTTCGCCAGTTTTTCTCCTTTAGAGTAAGGAAATCAGTCTCAACTAAATCCAGCCATCTTAGCCTGGGTCTACCTCTTTTCCTGTTCGTTAGGGGTTTGTGTAACAGGATTTTTTTTAAATTTGAGTCATCAATCCTTATGAAAATGTGAGCTGCCCAGTTCATTCGATGTATTTTAATGAATTTCACAATATCTGGCTCTCTGTAGATTTTATTGTCCTTAATTTTCCTTTTTAAAATTGTATGAAAAAATTTAATCAACCTGGTACAGATACAAACAAATCAATGCTATAGAAATGTATCGAATCACAGTGAAAGGAATGAAATAATCGGTTTGATTGCCTGATTAAATTAAGAGGCTGTTCGTAAAACCGGCAATCCAACAGACTGATTTCAATATTTTCTTTGATTTATGATTGACTTTGTAGTGTATCTACCACTACAAAAATACATTTCCAATTTACTACTATATAAGACTTGTTAACTCGATTCCATGCTGGGGTGTCTTTTCACAGATGAAGGATGACATTGTCTATAATTACTCTCCCCACATGGGTGATCTTCGGACGAGATATGAACACGCCTACCTTGACAGAAACGCCCACTTCGATTTGAAAACGCCTACTTCGATGGGTTGCTATTTGTGACTGCGACATTATCCATCTCCTCGCGCTGTTGTTACTCAGTCTCGATCGCGCACAGCGTCGGCGTGTACACACTAGACTGCTCATGGCAACACTAGAGCAACCACAAACGTGAACTTTACACAGTTCTCACGACCTGTACTCAAAAGTTCGGTGATCTTAATACAGCTCTCCCGGCTTGTCACAAAACAGCGATGAATCAACTAGTGGTATCTCATTCACCGAATTCTATCTCAGATAAAATTCTGGTGGGGGAGTACTGCAGTGTACCTACCACTACAAAAATACAATTCGAATTTACCAGTATATAATATACATAAATATTATATACTAGTAATATATAAATACAATTCCAATTTACTAGTATATAAGACATGTTAACTCGATTCTATGTTGGGGTAACTTTTCACAGATGAAGGTTGACATTGTCTATAACTACTATCCCTATAACTTCTTTTACAACGAAATATTCACATATCAAATGTTTTTTTTTCCTATTGTGCAAATGATCTAAGAGTTCATATTTAAACTTATATTTTATTCTTCGTGTAATAAAGCCTTATTCTTAACCAATAAAAAATATTTATGAGCTTTCATTCGATCGGATGCCTTCATTGATCATGACTCAAACCCCTGATCAGATAAGTTTTCCTCAGTAAATATGGATCTGCTGTACAAGGGATCAAATCTTTATAATGAATTCCTTACGCGTCATGGTGGCTCAGGGGATAGAGCGTTCACCATGCATGGCTTGTCAGAACGAATTTCGCACTCGGCTTGCACCGGGCACAGTGCCGACGTAAGATATCCTCAGTAGTAGACGGATCGTGAGTTAGAATCCTCTTGCCATGAGGCTAATCTGGGAGATTTTCGTGGTATTCCTCTCCAAGTAACGCAGATGCTGGTTAGTTCCAGCATAAAATCCTCCACGAAGGCAAATTTCTCTCGACAGGGTGCGGAGCCAAATTATTCAACAAAAAATAAGCACTTTTCAAGCACTCAAAAATATTTTAAGCACTTTAAAAAAATATCATAATTAGGCAGAGTTGGAAAGTTTTGGACAATGGACGGTTTTCTCTTGTTGTAACTGTCATGTCAAAAAAAAAAAAAAAAAATTAANGTCAAAAATCATGAAATTTTGAATAAAATTAAACGAATGGCGTTTTTATACGCTACGGACTGACAATACGACGAAATAGATTGGGGTTGTATTAATTGAGAAAACGTTGAATAGAACAATGTGAACTGTGTCTTTTTGTATAATTCGTAGCGAAAATCAACATGGTAAAGGAAAAATCTCATTTTGAAAAAGGGAAAATTAATCACTTTTTAAAAACACCCAATGAAAAAAGCTTTTAAGGGCTTTTAAAAAACGAAAATAAGCACCTTTAAAAAACGCTACGCATCCTGCTCGATACTTAATCCAGGAGTTCCCTTGTCTCCTGGATTGGGCTTAAAATTACAAGGCTACGGAGTTGAACATTGGTTGTTGTAAACTCAAAATATGGGTCGTCTGTTCAATGACGGTAATAAGAACTAAAATATAAGGAATTCTTTATGTTAACAGCGAAATATTTTCTAAATAAATTATAGAGAAACTTTCTTTTTAAAATTTGTTTTTGAAAACTGATCGAAATTTCACATAAATTTTTAAAATGCACAAATGAGGCACTTGTTTGGTGCCAAATTTTTTCTTTGAAAAAATTATTGGATTTTCTGGTACCAAATTAAACCTGATTCTTGGGATGTTTCAATAAAAATCAAAGCCTATTCACTATGGAATTTTATACTTTCCATTAAATTGTCGTATGTCTAGCAAAAAGAAAATTTGTTATTCGAAATATAACAGAGGTACTTTCTATGAAACAAATTGTATCAATTTTAAGAGATCTGATTGAGGCTTTCTGAATTAAGTTGACTTTTGCGTACTTGGTTTTCGTAAAAAATTGCAATAAAGCTTGCTCTAAACTTTTAAACCAAAAAGAAAATTTGTTATTCAAAATATAACCGAGGAAGTTTCTTCATAACAAATTGTATCAATTTTGAAAGATTTTATCCTGACTTTCTGAAGTAAGTTGACTTTTGTGTCAGAGTACTTGGTTTTCGTAATAAACTGCAATAAAGTTTGCGATATAGACTTATAAAGTAGAAATAAAACCTTTGCTGCAAAACTATCATGGACATCAATATTATCGAGGAAAAATAAGTAACAAAAAATTATCAATATACAATTTTATTTACAAATTCTACAATTTTTACATTATGAGTGCATAAAAATAGTTGACAAACATAGATTAATGAAAATCAATGAATAGCTACAAAGTAAGTTTATTAAAAGAAATCATTCTATTCATCTGATTGATGAATAGAATTATTCATTACCCAAGAAAAAGTGCTACATTATAAGAATAGAAGTACAAACAATTGCAACCATATTAGCAAAGAGTCAAAACTGATATTTTCATAAACGTAACCAATAATGTTATTTTTAAAAATTTAAGTTCAATATGTAAAGTTTAGTTCTTTTTTATTTATTTGTATACTTATTTTGAAAGATTTAAATACTATATATAAAATTTAGGCTGTAACAAAATCGGAGAAATATTATGGTTAATGTGATTATACATTTTTAAACAAAATTTGAACTTACATATTTTCATCCTTATTAAGCAATTCTAGATTTTCTTTTTTAAAAAAAGGAAGGAGGCAAATAGGAAAATAATACTCTCTAACCAATAATTTTTTATTGGTTGAGGATTACATTTTGCCGATAAATTAATCATACTTAATAACTTAATTCTCGGCCATAGATGGCGCCACTGGAAAACAAGAACAATCGTACCCTCTCTGCCTTCACAGGCATACGCAACAACTTAATAAGTTGAAATAATTTAGAGAGAATTTCATATTTTTTGAGTCAAGGTGACTAAAGCTAAAAAACTTTAAATATCTCCTACGAATAAAACAAGATTTTGCGAACTTAAAATGTCCTTTTTTTACACTCACTTGCTCGTTTAAATTTTCTCCCGATTTTATTTTTAAAAAAATGAACGGCATGTTTGTAATGCAATAGCAAAGTAGAATAGATATTTCACAATGTTTATAGTTTGTTAGTTGATGACTTTAAACCCTATTTTCCATTTGCCGTCCTTTCTGTAAAAATTAGAAATCGGTAATCGGGTGATCAAAGAGGCGTTACATTTAAAGTTTTGACACAGAAAATATTAGTCTTAATAAAAGCATTTAAGCGCGCTTTTTATTAAAAAATATAAACTAAAGCTAAGCAAAAGTATTAGCATTAAAAAGAAAGGCTTAAGAACCACCTAGATTTAGAAAATATACTAATACTACTATAAGCTCGAAACATGGAAATAATTCCATATAAATCTCTATTCCGATATTTTGATAGTTACTTTTTATTAAATAATTAAAATTGTTTCTCCCCTATAAAATTAAAATTAATTAATTACATTTAATGAATGAATTAATATTTGAAAAAAAAAACTGTATTAACGTCAAGTGTCATCCACTTTAAAAAAATTGTATTTGTACTTGATAGTGGATGAATAAAAAGTATTTTATTAACGATTGAAAATTTGAACAAGATATAGTGAAATAAGAGTAGAAATTGAATAAAATCAAGAATTCCATATTTGAGGGTATAAATAAATAAAAATAAATATTAAAAACCTGCTTGGAATTACAGCTATCGTGTTTTTACTTATTAAATATAAAATAAATGTTGATATTTTCGAATATTATATACATTTTTTCCGGTATCGTTTTCATTTATCTCCGTATGGGTTGAAATTGATTGTTAGCAAAAGGAAGGAAGGCGGGTTGTCCTAAATTTGGAAAGGGAAGAAATCCACCAATCAACGGTTGGCTGAAAAATCGTCTGGCATCTATGGCACCAATGGGGATGATGTTTGGTTGGTTGTTGAATGGAATGAGGTTGGGTTGAATAGGAACTAATGTTGGTTGAAAAGGTAAGACTGCTGGAGGAGCTACAACAGGTTGAGCAACTGCTACTGGTTGAGGAGCTGCTGCATATGCTTGGAACCCTGCAAAAATCAACATATGAGTAAATCATATAAATATGAATTTTAATTTTGCATTATTAACTTGCATTAATAATTTACGATAATGTGATCGCTTAAGCTGTTCCAACTTGTTGCGCAAAATGCCTCCCAGTCTCATTAAACAACCATGGTCAAACCCATTTTTTCTTACATCTTACAACAGCCAGGACTACATAAATTTGAACCCGGTCAATCTATAAAAGTCGTTGAAGAGATGACCCAATTTTTTGGCTTTGCGACTTTAACTCCGTAGCCTTGAAAATTTGAACCCAATACAGAAGACAAGGGAACTCCTGTATCAGTACCCCCAGAGGTATGATTTGTTACAGGAACTTGGAGGACCTTGTGACTCGACTGATATGACATGCACCAGTCACCATTTACTACACGGGGAGTCTTCGGTCGGAGGGGATCGAACCCACGACCTCTTGGACATGGGCCCAGTGCCCTACCAACCAGGCTTTTTTTTTGGTAGCCAATGTTTTGGGTTCACGACTACTAATGCTCAACTCCGTAGCCTTGTAACTTTGAACCCAATACAGAAGACAAGGGAACTCCTGGATCAAGTATAGGGAGAAATTTGCCTTTCATGGAGGACTTTATGATGGAACTAACCCGTATTTGCGTTACATGGAGAGGAAGACCACGAGAACCTTCTACGGTTAGCCTGACGGCAAGGGGAGTCTAACCCATGATCCGTCTGCCACTAAAGATATTTTACGTCAGCACTGTGGTCGGTGCAAGCCGGATGCGGAATCGCTCTATCCCCTGAATCGCTCTATCCGAGCCATCAAGGCTCGATCACGATCAATAGACGTGGACATTGCTTGAATTGTACACCGTCTCAATAAAACTTCAACATCAACGAAGGAACTATGAGCACCTTACTGCATATACAAGCCAAAAAATATTTTAAATGTGATACACTTTTATTGAAATACGTACCATTTAAATTTCTAAACAAAATATACACGTTATTACTATTATGACTATTTTACCCAAACTTTGATGTATTTGTTTTGAACAAAAGATGTAATAAATTATCAGAAGAATGCGATAGTTAAGATATTGAATCTTTCATTTCAAAAACATATTTTTTATTGGAAATGGAGAGTAACGTGATACATTTAAAAACAAATTGTTACATTTTTCTGTTGAAAGTAAGAGCTTTGGCATTGGTGCAAATTGTTGTCAATAAAACAATAATTCTAGAACTGAAATATTGCTTTGATAGTAAAAAACGCGAATTATTTTTTAATTTCTTTCACATTACTAAACCTGATATGAAAAGAATTATTTAGTACCAAAAAACGGAAAAGTTCTGTAACAAATAATAAGTGAACAAAAATACTTCAAATTACCATATTTTATAGGGGAAATTGTAAAGCGGTGACAAATTAATTTATCCTGTTAGTCGCAAACATTTTCGAAAAGTTTCTAACATTTTAATTTAATTTTATTTTATTTTACAATCGTCGTTGAACAGCCGAGCCAATTTTGGATTTACGACTACTAATGTTCAACTTTGAAGCCTTGTAATTTTGAACCAATCCAGAAGACAAGGAAACTCCTGGATCAGTACTCCCAGAGGTAGAATTTGTCGTGGGAACATGGAGGACTTTGTGACTCGACAGATTTAACGTTTATCAGTCACCATCTACTACACGGGGAGTCTTCGGTCGGTGGGGATCAAACCCACGACCTCTTGAGCATGGGTCCAGTGCCCAAACAACTAGGCTATCCCGGCCTTTAACATTTTAATTGGATAAACTTCTGATTAGCTCTGCACTTGAATGCGCTGCGAGTTCACATATTTTTAGATTAATTGAAAAAGTAAACCATTCCCACTACAGGCCCTTGAGAACCAGGGCCTTCATGGAGGTTAAGGTTCCATATTTTAGTGACTTCTGGTATGCTTTTGGCTATGTGATTAGAATTATGCACAAACTGCTTTAAGTTCTCAGACAAGCCACCACTGGGGGGGGGGGGCGAATCCCAGTCCTTCACCCTTAGTTTCCCCATATTAATGCCTAAAAAGCCAACACAGCTATTTATTTTATTTTATATCCATCGTTGAACAGCCGACCCAATTTTGGGTTTACGACTACTAATGTTTAACTCCGTAGCCTTGTCATTTCGAACCAATTCAGAAGACAAGGAAACTCCTGGTTCCACCAGAGGTATTGATTTGTTATGGGAACATGGAGGAATTTTGCGACTCTCGACAGATTTAACATGCATCACTCACCATTTGCTACACGGGAACCTGAGCCCGGGATTGAACCCACGAACTCTTGGACATGGGCCCAGTGCCCTACCAACCAAGCTATCCCGGTCCATCACGGTTTTTTAAGCAAATTAGAAAGCTGAGAAATTAGAAATTATTCGTCGCTCAAATCGGCCTGATTTATTTTAGATAATTTGTATATTACTGAGAGCCTATTTCAAATAGCAGCATTAAAGGATTTTTGCAGTAAGCCTAATGATTTCTTAAAAGCCTATATGTAATAAGCCTAAACGAAAAATAAAAATGAGTCATCAAACCTTGGTCGGCGCTGGATTCTATGGATACGTCAGCTGGGTTCTCGTTGCTGGTTCCTGGTTCATTGGTTGAGATGGAAGCTCTGAAACCATTTTCATCAGCTACATAGTTTACAATTCTCTGTCTTCCATCTTCATCGGCTACTGAATAGCTTCCGGTCACTCTCCCGTATTCGTCACCCGTCTGTTCGTGGGAGCTTCCACCACCGATTGCAGGTGCATTGTAGTTGAATTGATAGGGGGTTGGGGCAGACAAATCATTGTTGTTCGGCTAAAAATCAATTGATTTTTTATTATAGTAGGCACAATATTTACACTGTATTTTTGAAAAGTAAATTTGCTGAAAACATCATTAAAAGCAAATTTATGAAAAAAGACCGATATTTTTGCCAGCGTTAAACCAAAGTTAAAATTTACACAATTAAAATGAAGATGCAAATTTGCAATAATAATATTAAAGCTGAAATTTTCTGAAAATTCGCAATATTTTTACAGTATTGAAATTAGTATTGGTAATTTGTTCACAAGGCACTATTTCACAATGTTAAAATATGTTCAAGAGGCAGGCCCCCAACTAGATGACTCAGCAACATCGAAAATGACCGGAAAACCTCAGAAACCTCGGAAAAGATCAGAAATTGGAAGGGAGTTGCCATGGATAGAAGGCGTTTGTCAGCTGTTAAAGCAACTAAGGCCCGCAAGGGGCTGTTGCGCTGACAAAGAAGAAGAAGAAAATCTGCTCAAAAAGCACGCTCTTTTTATAGTATAATTTAATAATTTCTTTTAGGAAGTTCAAAATTTCTGACACAAATATACCATAAAATTGTAGTGCTTTTTAAAAAAAAGAATTTTTTTTTAACGCAATTTAAACTCTTTTATTGTAGTCTTTAAAGAACATTTATCGATTGTGTGTCCAAGAGAAACGTGAAGACATGGTTTTAGTCATGTAGGATACATAAATTCGGACTTAAGACTGAAATTTTTTAAAACACATGAAGAATACCTACTTTTTTTGGAAATTCGAACTCTTAAAGCATAATTAAGATTTTTCCATGATCAGTCTTTGAAAGTTTTACGTGTTTACAGTCGAGATAACAGAAATTAGGCCACTGAGAATAATTAATTGAACTTTTGAGAAGTTTAGATGTCTATAAATTTGGATGGGAGGACTACATCTATACGATATATAACCAACAAAATCTTACTTTTAACGCTAGTATAAGCACGTAGAAACATATAAATACTTAAATACTGCGCCACATTGTAAACCCCTAATTTATTTATAATTATTTCCTTTGGTATGGTAGCATAATATGTTGTAATGTAATACGTGACCGAGTTTGAATATTACTATTTTTTTATAAAAATCGTTGAACAGCCGACCAATGTTTGGGTGTACGACTACCAATGTTCAACTCCATATCCTAGTAATTCTTAACCCTATCCAGAAGACAATGGAACTCCTGGATCAGTATATTCAGAGTTATAGATTTGTTATTGAACATGGAGGACTTTGTGACATGATGGATTTAACGTGCATCAGTCACCATCTGCGGGAATTTAACCCACGATCTCTTCGACATGGGCCCAATGCTCTACCTACCAGGCTATCCTGGCCCTTACTTTGAATATTATAGGTTAAAACTAAAGGGAGATATGGGATCATAAGTAGTATATAATAAAGAAAACTATTTCTTCATTTTAACGCTTTTATCATCTTACGCCTATATAAAGGAATAAAATAATAATTTAAAGCAAAGGAATATTTTAATTACGTTACAGTATTCTAAAATGACTAAAAATATTTTTACTAAATATAAATTAATGACTATGTTCGAGGTTCGAACCCTGGACGCTCAGGACGGACAAGCAATTTGTTGCTTCCTATCATTTAACCCTACCACCTGGAATTTTTCAAGAACTTTTCGAACTTTTTAAGTAATTTACCGCGATTTTTAATGGAACCATTTTGTCCCATGCTCTCTAATTTGCAGCTGTACCACATTGTGGGAGCCATAAATTGTCCTTAATAAACTTTTGTGGTACGGTAATAAAATATAGTATAATCTAATTCCTGACCGAGTTTGAAAATTATAAGACTACTTAAAAGCGCTATGGGGCCCTATATTGTAAGTGAGCAACAATTTCTCCATGGTATGGTGTTATTTTATCATATAATATCATACCTGATTTAGTTTAAATATTATAGGTTAATATGAATACCATATATTTAAGTCTTACAAACAGCTATTTGTGTGTCAATTCAAGATACCGATGTCAGATTCAAGATACCGAGAATGAATTTCCCGCATGAAAGATCCAATACTTTAAAATTCAAATATGAGAAAGTAAAATAATCGTTACAAGAAGTTATTGCTTACTTGTGGAGCTAAAAGCACAGTTTGTGAACGTGCCAATAAAGCACAGCTGAAGAGAACGAGAACCTAAAAAATACACAATTGTTAACAACAGGATAATTAGCAGTAATTAACAATAGTTGACAAAAATACACACCCGATCAGACATTTTTATTTCAATTGTTAATGCAGTGTTGTACAATTGCAGCAATGTACCACTCTCTTATGGATTTTATAAACGTCGCTGAATAGTCTACTCAATTTTTTGGGTTTACGTCTTCCAATGTTCAACTCTGCAGCCTTGTCATTTTAAAACCAATCCAGAAGACAAGGAAACTCCTGGATCAAGTAGTGGGAGAAATTTGCCTTCTTAGAGGAATTTTTGGTGGAACTAACTAAAATTTGCTTTACATGGAGAGGGATACCACGAAAAACTCCCACGGTTAGACTGACGGCAAGGGGACTCTAACTCATGATCCGTCTACCACTGAGGATATTTCACGTCAGCACTGTGGTCGGTACAAGTGGAATTTGTATCGATTAGCCATCGTTGGGATTCGAACCCAGTTCACCTCAATGGTAGGCGAACGCTCTATCCCTTGAGCCATCACGGCTCTCTTATTGATTTGTAATTAATATAATGACTTGTTGCAGTCAGTGCTGTAGTTTGGGGAACCCGGGGCAACGCCGTTCCCCCAAATATTTAGCTTGCCGTAGTAAAAATTTTTTAAATATTTGAAAGGATTACCAACCTGTTTTTTCTTCTTCTCCGTTTTCATTCTCTCTTTATTTATTTATTATTTTTTTACGCAGTGTAACAAAATGTTTTGTTTGATTCCAGAATTTTTTTTTTTACATTGAACAAAGTGCAAATTATGCCAATCAGATTCGAAAGAACAAGTGAACTTTCACCTCTTACGGGTGCAATTTTTTGGGCTTGTTTGCAAACACACACAATTAGAATAGTCCTGTAAAAAAATATAATTTCGGAAATGTGTATAGTGATTAAAATTTTTAATGTAGCTGAAAAGCTAAGTAATTAAAGCAAATATTTAAAGAGAATAAAATCTTTTATAAAATTGCTTTATTTAATTTCATGTGGTTTGCAAAATTGCGAATAATAAATGAGATTATATTTCTTTATAACTTTGTTTTACATATTTTCAATAATCTGGTAAGCAAAGGAGCTACTCTAAGAGTAAATAATCCCCCCCCCCTTTTTTTTTTACAAAATAAATGTCTTCTTCTTAGAATTAAAGCTGGTTAAGTAACTTAAACTGGTCATTTTTAAGCCTAACGCGGCAATACTATGGCATATACCCTGTTCATAGGAGAGTTCCCCGAATTATTTTTTTCCCCAATTGCAGCACTGATTACAATTACAGTTAATTATGAGAAATTTTAACTGACGTATGAAAAATAGAAGTGGGACTTTATAAGGGTTTACACGATTTTGTACTCAGCTAGTAGAACGAATTTCCTGTTCTTATTTCAGTGAGTTTTCCAAGAATAGAATGCTTTTTATATACAGTCGGACTTCTATTGAACGAACTTCCATTTTGCGACTTTTTCGAGGAACATTTTGGAAATTCCTTCGTAAAATAACTTCCAAATAGCGAAGTGAATTTTCTATTTAACGAGCTTTTCTTTCAATCTTATTTCTCAAAATATTTCAGAACATTTCAAACTTGTTAACACATTTTATGGGGGAAATGCGTCAAAGCCTTACAGAAAGCGATAAAATCCTTTTCCCTTTTGTTCGCATCTCAAACGAAAAATTCAGACAAAATTAACGGATTTTATCAATAGCAATTAAACTTAAGAACGCATATGGTAATGTTTGTTTAAAATTACTTTTATAATAAATGCAGCTATAATTTTATACATAAATTTAGCTTTAGTTAGTTCAAAATGTTTGTAGCATGATAGTGTAACACTGGATAATGTTTTGCTTTAGTCTTGCTTTCCATGCAGATTTCTTTCATGGTAAAGATTTATAAAATAAATAGTAGATACTAATTTACGAGATAACTGTGTATCAATTACTATTTTAATTATGCCTAGTGTTTATGAATTTAAAACCTGTTTTGTGTTGTTTAAGTATTTCAAAAGGTAATTTTTTATTTAATGAATTTTCCATACAACGAACTTATCGGGATTTAGCGACTTCGTTAAATAGAGGTCTGACAGTGCATCAATTTATAGGCTTTTTTATGGTGTTTTGTACTAAACATTTTTTAATAAGCTTTAATCTTTGTATCAAATTTGTTAAACAGTTTTTTGAAATAGCTTATAACTTTATTATTATTGTACTTATCTAACAACTTCGTTATTTCGCTGGTAATTGATTTTTCTACAAAATTGTTGAATTGTAAAAACTGTATTTGCTATTGCTTGCAACAATTATATTAATGCTTATCCCATTTCATTTAAAGATTTCAAACACTTTTCTTAAGAATGAATCTCCGAGTGACTCAAAACAAACATTCTGTTTAAATACATACCTGATACATGTTGCTAAAATCTTCTTCTGTTCTAAACCAAACGAACTGTTTGAGTGATGATTTTCGGACGCCTGACATACCTTTTATATGTCGCCAAACAAAACGGAAATCCACTTTCTAAAACACCATCCGGAAGTGTTAAAATAAATGTAAAAGTGATCAAATGTAGCAAACGATTTGAATGCTAAAATATGTTCGCACACTTGGCGGTGAATAACAAAAAGATTCTTTTTTGAGTTAAAATCCCCTATCATTTCACTTCCTAGAACTTAAAAACTGTTCTTAACGGAAAAAAAAAAGAATCGTTTTCCCCCCAGACATGGTTTACATTCTGTCATTAGCCTGAAGCTAAAGATGCGTTGTTTTATGCGACCTTGAATCGTATCGTGTTATTTACCAAAACACTTGGCGTACTCGGACGATAAATATTTTTTTCCGCTCCCTTTTTATTAAAATATTCGGAAGAAGACTTAGGCTGCAAGGGATTGGGTGGATTTTCCTTTTGTAGTTAACTTAAACCGTTTGAAGTAGTAATTTAACTCTTATTTTCGCTTCATCTGGAATTTAAACAACTTCAGACGTTTCATCGTTATCTTAATGATAGCATAAAATTCTGTATTTCGAAAAAAAATTGTTTTAAAAATAAACTAGATATCAAAATGATATAAAGATTGATATCGCGATTGTTATATCCTCTTTTAAAATATAGCAAATTTTAAGTGTTCTAAAAGTATTCTTATTATTTCTATAAATGGAATCAGCCCTTATTTTCTTAAGGTATTTATTCATTTTGATTGGTGGTCTTACAAATTTTGTAACAGATATTGCTGATGAAAAATGTTGATATTGTTAACAGAATATTCATATTTAAATATATCTCTTAAAAATTATATGCATGCTGAAGTCAAAATTCTTGATGGTCCCGTAAAAAATGTTTGATGGTTTATGTTGGTTTCAGTGCATGATGGTCCAACATCATTTGATGGTCACCATCATCCAACATTTTCTCTTACTTGTTCATGGTCTTTCATATGTCAACAAACTACTGTTATTCCATGATGGAAAATACTACTTTAATACCATCAAGAGAAGTTTGACTCTCATGGACCAACAATCCGTGATGGCTCCAACTATACATTTCTATGATGGTTTAATGGTGATTCTTGTTGGTTCTCAGGAATATAATATAATATCAGAACAATTTCGGTTTTATTCATGTTAAACCACCATGAATCAGTCCTAATTCCTACCCTGGGATGGTGGTTGTTCATGATCGTTCTAACATTTGATTTCTAAGATACTGTGATGGAAGTTCGCGATGGTTCAACCTGAACAAAACAAGTAGCTGTTCTTATGTTGGACCATCATAAATCAGTTCGAATTTCCACATTGAGGTGATGGTTACTTATGTTTTTTTTTTTCCAATGGCAGGCACTGAATTAGAATCTTTGTCTATGAAGATGCCAGAATTGTTTCGCGTTACCCAGTGGGAACCTGTGAGCCAAAGTCACGGAGGCGAGCAACATTGCCCACGCCAAACTGCCACAAACCCGTTTATAGGGTGGGTCACATTCACTCATCACACACACACAACAGAGGACAGCACAAAGAGAGAGAGAGAGAAACATCCAAGCCCAGAGCGGGATTCGAACCCGCAGCCAATGGCTTCGCAGTCAGGCGCGCTAACCGCTCGGCCGGCTGGTTACTTATGATGGTTGCCATCAAAAAATATAATGGTTAATGATGGAATTATTGATGGTTACCATCAAGATTATGTTGGTCCATCAATGGAAAACTATCAAAAATGTAGACTTCGTTCATTTTCATTAATTTAATTTAGTTGAGGAAAATATATATTACTTACATTAAAATTCACAAAGAAACCACAGGAGTCATAATTTTGTTAAACACTGTCCAATAAGTATTCAGTGAGCAGGAAATCAATACATTACCCTGAATTACTTTTGCTCTGATGAACGGATTTTCACGAACCTTATAGTTTAAAGGGGTAACCAATATAGCAATTAATTAGTGCTAATTAGTTAAGTTAACGTAACTCGTCATGAAAATTTATTTATTTGAAAAAATGTACTTTTTTTCGATGGATTAGGATTCTTTTTTTATTTCAATTTTTTGGCAGTTGTTGAACAGTCGACCCAATTTATTGTTTACAACTGCTAATGTTCAATTCCGTAGCCTTGTCATTTTGAACCCTATCCAAAAGACAAGGGAACTCCTGAGTCAAGTATTAGGAGAAATTTGCCATCGTGGAGGACTTTTTAAAGGAACTAACTCGCATTTGCGTTACATGGAGAGGAAGACCAAGAGAACCTCCCTCGGTTAGCCTGACGGCAAAGGGGCTCTCACCCATGATCCGTCTACCACTGAGGATATTTCACATCAGCATTGTGGTAGGTGCAAGCAGGATGCGGATTCTTATCGACCAGCCATCTCTGGGATTCGAACCCGATTCACCTCATTGGAAGGCGAATGCTCTATCCCCGGAGCCATCGCGGCTAGGGTTAAGATTCTTGACAGTTAAAATGTGGAAGTAGTTAGAATTTGGAATTCCACTAAGGATTTCGTATCATTAGCCAAGATAGTGGTCAGAAAGTTTGGCCATTTAATATAATTTCGCTCGAATCGATATCTTTTTGCACAATTCAATTATCCAAATTCATTTATCCAAAATTCATTTATCCAAAAATAATTCGACGTAAAAAAAAAAGTTATTATTTAGTCATTTTTATTATTTAATCTAATAATGGTTTGAAAATTTTTTAGCTGTTAGGTTTTTACATCTTAAAGTTTATTTTAACCGTTTAGTCTAAAACTATATGTAAGTTTAAAGAGAAAAAAAAATAAAAAAAGGTGTATTCACTGAAGTGTTACTTTTAACATATGTCTATAAAACAATTTAAAAGGAAAGAAAAAAAATTGTGATCGCGATTACAGGTTACACATTGGCAAAATGGTTGTGATCTAATTTTTTTTTACCCCCTTTATTTGTGATATTCACCTGAATTAGTATTGAAAACGATCCAGTTTAAACTGTTGGTTAGAATTTCCGATTCTTAATTAAAACAATAAAAACAAAAAAATATCGATCAAATGATGAATTTCTCTTTTATTCAAAACTCAAGAAGTATTTATGGGATCTCTCTGGTCCCATATCTCAAAAACAAACTCACCCACTTAATGCATAACAGAATTAAAAGTGAAAAAAAGAATTCTAAAAAATTATCAAACAGCAGCGGTCGCCATAGCAACGCAAGCAACTATTACTCTTGCAAGCAACTACTATATCCAAAACAACACCATTTTGCCAATGGCTTTGTTTGGTATTTCATAACTGAACAAATCTATTGATTCATTAAAATTTTTGATTTTGTCATCTTAAATTACATAATTAAAAGAATGAAACAAATTTCTTTTCATCATTATTAAATACAAAAATAATGAATAACTATTAAAAAGAATTTTTTTCTTTCATCTATGAGAAAGGAAATCTATAATAGTCAGATTAGCTTAAGGTACTATTACATAGGTACTATGTATGCATAAAAGACATATGAAGGGGTTTCCAATCGCTCTCCTGACAAAAGTTTTTCAGCGTTAATTTATAAGATTGTGCGAAAAATCACAAAAGTTGTTGACGATCATATTTTTTTGTTCACTGCACAATATTTGTACTTTTTAAATAATACGAAAATAAAATAATATGCATGAAATTTAAACAGAAAGACAGATTTTTTTTAGTTACACTTTAATATGGTACATGTTCAGTGCTCCGCAGAGGACTGATCGTAAAGAGACGGCTCCCAGGAGAACACCGAAGTCAAGCATCACTGGATGCGGTCAGTAAGCGGGTGGGTGATCACTTTGATCACCCTGCGTAAGGACCGAGGGTGCGCTGTGTCTGTCCTCGTTAAACTGTACTACCGTTAAGTGCTCGACCTCCAGGAGTTCCCTTGTCTTCTGGATTGTGTTCAAAGTGACAAGGCTACGTAGTTGAACATTAGTGGTCGTAAACCCAAAAATTAGGTTGACTGTTCAACAACGGTTATAAAATAAAATATAATATAGGTACTAGCTTGTCTAGAAAATAAAGATAACCTACGCTCAGTGCTTCCGCATTAATGCAGTTCGTCAAATAATTGTGGGGGCTTATCAACACCCCTGGTCCCCAATGGGCTGTTGCAGGAATGCTTTACTTTTTTAAATAAATAGAAATCTTATTTAAAATCGCTTAGGACAGATAAGATATATTAGTGTAGATAGATTATAAATTATAGCTTGTAAAAAGCTATTATAGATAATACAGTCAAACCCAGCTATAGTAAACATGTTTTATAGTGAATTCCCGGATATAGTGAACGAAATGTTCGTTCCCGTGCCTTGGTATACACAAATAATATTTTTTTTTGAGGATATAGTGAAACAAAAGAAGAGAGGAAATTGGTTAGTATTAAATGTTTTCTGTCTTCGATTGATTTTTTTCGCACATTTTTGATCATTTTGAAATTTCTACCTAAAATACATACACCGATTTCTAAAACCATCTATTGAGTGCAATGCAGCATTTTTTCTTGTTTGCTTCTACTATCTCAGTTTCCCATCTCTAAATTTTTTTGTACGCAAGACGAAGATTCAGAAAAACTAAAAGTCAACACATTTTTTGTTACTACATATTGTTTTTTTTTATAATTTTGTATTTCCTTTTATGGGTCATTTATTTAAATAATGTGTCATACAAGGGAGCAGTTCGGAAAAATGAGTTAAAACTGTTTGCAGTACGGATATAGTGAGCTCCCGGTTATAATGCACCGAAATTTCGATCACTTGGAGGTTCGCTTTAACGGGGTTTGACTGTAGTTTTTCAAAAGGGATTGTTTGAAATGTATTATTTTTCCATATCTCTAACGTTTTCATTAATATTCTAGAAGGAAAAGGAAACTGCTTTCCTCTTTAGAAAGAGGATGACATGTGTGGGTCAGACGTGTCGTGACAGTTTTCACTTTCTTTTTAGTTTTAGGGATTACATTTTAAAACTGAACAATTCATTTTGACAGCACAAATAGAACGAACACTTCATAAAGAAAAAATATTTTAGATTATGGGAATGAATTGTGATTAAAATCTTTACTTTTTGGAAAAGAAGACTTTTTATTTCGTATAAATTATTCGTATGTTTGCAACTGCCTATTAAAATCATGTTCTGCTAACTATTCCTGAAATACTGGTTACTTTGTGGTTAA